TGCAACTTAGTTTTTTCTTCTGCAGACTTTAGTAAATCTGTGGCTCGACCAGTGAATTGCCAGCTCTTTGGTTGGGGATCTGTTTTCTCGACATTATCTATTGCAAAGAGGACCTTGTCATTTTCTTGTTTTTGACTTTCTTCATCTAACTTGGATTTTAAGCTTGCAAGGTTGCTCCTCAGTTCCACTTCAGATTGTTGAATCTTTACACATTGAGCCTCGATTTCTGCTTTGTGTGCTTGAAGGGAGGTCAGCTCGTTTTTCCTCTGGGCCAAATAAGACTTTGAAGCATCTGCCCTTGCTCTTGCCCTTGTTTCTCGTTGTTCAAAATAAATTATTGAAGAAGAAAAGTTGGTGAGAGAGTATCTCAGAGCGCAAAACTTACTGTGTGCAAGATCTCTACTTTCTTGCTTTTTGGATAAGACTAGTTTAAGGGATTCAACCTCCTTCTGCTTTAACTGAACTTCATCTTCCACAACTTCAACCTGTTTTGAGAGTTTATCGGCCTCAAATATCATCTTTTCAAGTGAACTTAAAACACTGATATTCCTGGTTGAATCTGAAAGTTGTTCTTCTGCTGCTTCAAGCTTCTTTCTAATCGTACTTAAATCTTCTGGCAACATTTCTACAATAAGAGCGGGTGGATCAGTTTCCATCTGTGTTTCAGATTGCATCTGTTCTGCCTTGTCCACATTAGACGTACCTTTCTCTTCAACTAATTCGTCTGCTTCATCTAACCCATTCCCTTCCTTTACATCAGAGTTTGTGTGGGAACATAGTTCATCTGCAACAAGACCATCATTTTCTTCTTCAAGAGAATTTCCAAGTCTCGGGACGGACTCATTGCTCTCTCCCACTCCATCGAGTATTTCCATTTCAGATGGTACAGATTGACAGACCAAATTTTGTGCTTCATTGGGGTTGAAAGGTTCAACGTATGCCTCATTCATCCCTTCATCAACTTCAACAAACTTCTCGATGCAATCAGAGTCTCCTTTCGTGTCAACTTTTGTGTGTTCTAAAGAAGAAAGCATCTTCTTGAACTCATCTTTCTCCTGCATGGCCCCTTCATACAAGCTCATTAACTTATCATTTTCCTCGTGCATTTCCACTAGCTGTTGCTGTAGCCGCTCAACCGCTTTCTCATGAGCCTCTTTTTCATCGGAAGTTTCGACCACTTTAGCATCATTCTGTGCAGTTTCAACTTTACTTACATTTACAAACTTGCATTCTGAAGCTGCTGTTTCATACAGTTCAATGAGTTTATTGTTATCCTCGATTAAAACTCTTAGCTTCATACGAAGTTCATCATTCTCTTTGGACAAGGCTATTGCCGTTTCATGAGCACTTGCTTCTCTTTGACTAGCAGCAGCAATGGCGTCAACCATTGTCTTTAACTCCATTTGGTCGCTAAAATTGATGGTGGACATGTCATTTGATGCCAAAGGAAGCTCAACTTGATTAGTTCCGTCCACAGGTCCAGTATATCCGTTAGACTCGAGTTTTGTTGCCATTTCATCTACACGCCTGCAAGATCAGATGCACTTAATTGCTGCCATAAATGTTCAGTTTATAAACCAACATAAAAACAAGAGCAACAGCTGGAAAAAGACACTACCTCTCAAACTAAATTTCATTTTTATCTGTTAAATCGGACCATTGAGGTTGTTCAAAACTCTTTTTACATTCAATAGAGCGCATATAATATTACCTTGCTAATTTTTCCTTTTCTTCAACGCATAATTCAAGTTCCTTGCGAAGTGTATCCAATTCATCTTGGTTATGAATGGCCTAAAACAGTAACATGGATATCATCAAAACCTAATTATACAAAAGCAATCAAGTAGAATAAGTTTGAGACAGAATTAAGCTTCTTCTATATTGCACCCATATGGTACGAGTTTTGTTACCACCTGCATGCGAAGGAATTCATTCTCCTCGTTTATTGAAGATCTCCATGGTGATCCCCGCTCCTAAATAAGAAACACGAGCAAAGAACCGTAAGAAATTAAAGATGCTGATGATAAATGAAATTCTCTGTTCTACAAGTATAAAAGCAAATCTATTTGACAACCATTAAATTCTTAGTTCTTAGTTTTTAGTTATCAGTTTTTGAAATTTAGTTTTCAAATTTTAGCTAAGATTTTGAAAACGTATGAAAAAATTGATAAGAATAGGTGAAAGTCGTATTTTTATGTTTAGTTTTAAAAAATCAAATTGTTATTAAGTTGATAAAAGACGTGCTGAAAATGAAGGCAACTACAGATTTCAGCGATGGAAAAATGAAAAAGGAAAAGGTTAAATCTCAGCATTCAATCAAAAATCATAAACTATGCTTAATTGTCATCAAGGTTGAAGTATGCAATTTCCTTTTCGTTCGATTCTCCCAGGGAAACAAGTAACTCAGTCTAACCTGATTGGTAGTCAGAAAGTTTTCATCATCGACATCTGCTATCATGTCTGGATTTCCTTTCTGCAATATAGCATTTACATATATAGAAGATTATAAGGCCTGGATATAAATTTCATGTTATAATAATTCACCATAAAATAAAAAATCTCAGAAGTACCTGGATTGACGAAGGATCTGATTCATGCATTAGTTTCCAGTCAAGTGCTTCCAATAACTGTAGGTTTCATTAGAAGCTAAATTTTTTACCATAAATTCTAAAATAAAAAATTATGTGAAGATTCTTCTTATGTTTTTACCCTGCTTTCCAATTCCATGATCTGTTCGTGTACCATCTCCCGTTCGCCCTCTTCATAAAATGACTTCAACCTGTAAATTAATGCAGATTAGACGAGGAAATAACATAGAAAATTACTGATGTGGCAGAAATTAGATTAATGTCATCGTATATTTTCTAAAATACGAATTTCTTGTCTCAATATTCAAGATCAGTTCCACTTCTGTGTGACGATTGACAAGAAAATTATGCATGTTTCTTATATTTTAAATAATTCTATATGATCCTGAACTATAGTAAGCTTCTTTAGTGCACTGGACAAGAAAATAATCGTGCAAAGAAAGGTGGTTGAAAGAACTACCTTCTAATTTCTTCCTTCAAACGCAGGTTTTCCATGGCAAATCTGGTAACCTCTTGGTTCCGATCAACCTGATTTTTCAAAACCTCAATTTCCTTCAAATGTTCCTCCTTTTCTTTCAGTAAGTGTGTTTCTGCAGAGATCTTTCCAGAAGCAACTGCTTCCAACCTTTTTATTCCTGCTTCTCGAAACCGTAGTCTCATTTTAAGACTTTGTATTTCATCCTCTCTTTGCTTGGCCTAATCATACCAAACGAGAATTGTCAACAATGAGAAACTAGATATCTACTTTGAAAGCAAATGCCAATTTCCACGTCTTTGTACCAACTTCCATCAATATCCAAATTCTTCATTAATGACAGGAATTATATGTGGAAGTGTGCTGCGCATCCATGAACCAAGAAGCAGCAGCACGTTGGTTAACGTACCAGTTGCATCGCTGCCTGATTTTCATTAGCCAATGCTTGCAACGCCATGTCCTTATCCTTTTCTCTCCTGAAGGCCCCAACAAGGGCAACTTCATAGTCTCTTCTCTGAAATACACCAAAATTTTTTATTAAAAACAAGTAATTTCAAAAAATTTCCTGCAGCTTAAGAGATAACGTTCAATACCTGAGACATCCTTCTACCAGCTGTAAAAGGACTCATTGACCCGTGAAGTCCATCCCATTTTAAAGTTCCTGGAGTTCCAGGAAAGCTTACTGCTAAGCTATCGTTATCTTGATTGTCTCCATCATTAACTAAACCCCGTAATCTGGAAACTTCTTTCTGAAGATTGCATATGAGTAAGTACAAGAAATTACCCGAACAACCACAATTTTTATGAACTAAGACGCTGCTGATGATTAATTATATTTCACATCGTTCCAGTTTCGTGTAGAATATTTAACAAGCCGGATGAAAGAATACAAGGCAACTTCCTAATAGACATCTTGGTACCTTAAGTTGTTGAATCTGTAGCCTCATGGCAATTACATCTCCAGAAGTATCTTCGTTCACGATTGCCTGAGTAAAAGCAGATATTTAATGATGAGCACTGAAAGAAACTTATTGGTAATATCACTTCAAGTTTCGAAGGAAAATTTAATAAATATATGGCTATGGCTAGCTCATGTTGTTCGCTATGTGCATATTTTTTTCGATATGCATAGAAAAGAAAGCATACAAAAGAGACTACGGAACATACATTATTCTTTATAAATTTAGCCCGTTGTGCAAACTTCAACGTGCTGAGTGTTTCCAAAGAACAGCTGCAAGGACCCAAATCAAAGTCTTACAAAGATTGAAACAAACGTAATGATATATACACACACACACACATATACACAATATGATGGTATAAAAAAACGAAAAAAAAAAAGCAAATATATATATATATATATATTATCCACGTGATTAAGTGGGAATTGGTACAAAAGCAATTCACTAACCAGCTTGAAGGACTGATATTAGCAATGATGATCGTTTTTGCATTTCCTCCCAGAGAATCCTAAAACACACAAGTTCATAAAACAACTAATAAGTTGGAGTACGAGAACAATGAGAAAGCAAACAAATTAAACTGGTTGAACATAAACCGTTCTTAGACATGTAACCATAAATTAGCAAACAAATTAAATATTTATTACCATAATCGTGAACCTAAATTCTGATACAAGTGATGCACATGTAATTAAGCATTTGCTATTGTACTAAGAGGAATGATATTTCATCAAAAAATAATAATGATAGTCAATACATTAAGCTAATTTCAGAAAGTTTAGCTTCATACTTGTTGCAAGGTATCAAAATTACAACACATGTTCAGGCAAAACTGTCCAACTAATAAACCCGAGAACATTTCTGTACACAAGAAAACATTGCAGTTGCAACAAATATAGGACATTATCTTGTCGGTCACTTTGTGAAATGAAATGCAAGCTTCTCCATGTTACTACACTGAATAATTCAAATAAATTAAGTTGCTTAACTTTAGTAAGTGATAAAATTTCGTTGATATGACAAACTACATTTAAATACCTGAAGCAGAAATGTAAGCTTGGAGTCCCTATAAGGTACGTGAAGTGACTTTCCATTGGATACGTTGATTAGATTCATTATCACAAGCCTGTAGTTTGAACATATTCCATGCCAAAATACTTGAGTTTAGCAAATTATTCTGATTGCTACAAGTATACAAATTAAATATAAAAGCTTAAAATGCATACCCTAATGTAGAAAGAGATTTGTTGATATTAGTAGCTTCCTTAAGACGTTCACCTTCAGCTCCAGAACTCTTCTGCCTGATTAGGATACATATATAAAGCTGAAGAATAAATAATCTCAAATGCACAGGGGGAAGGAATTCCCAAGGAAGCAAGTGAAACAAATTCAATAGTTTCTTTTCTTAAAATATGATGCTTTGATAACTTTTCAAGATATTCAAGCAAAAACAACAAGTGAAGATAATATGATAGCAGGGAGAAAAGTGTTAAAAATTTTGACTGCCTTCTTTAGAGTGAACTCCATTGTCTTCTTGTTAGCTACTTTGGTTGCAAATAGCATAGCGGAAGGGGGCGGAAGGAGGAGATTAAAACTCGACAAGTTGGTAAGGTGGATTACTTACCTTTCTGATCCGGCTAAATCAACAAGATTAAGTCGAGCAAATCGGTGGTGAGTTACGCCTTGGGATTCCCACTAGAGAATATTTGATTCACTGTCAGTAATCTTAAAATGGAAGCAGTAAAAAGTTGTATATTTAAAAAGGTTATAAACTTATCCTCATAAAAATTGGATGTCAAAATTTACCTTACTTTCAATGATGCATGTAAATACACTATGGGAACGACTGCTAGCACGATTCATATTGGTGGATGCTACTTTTCTGTTTGCAGCACCCTGAAATCATAGTTAACTTTCATTTTCGACTGCACAATTAAAGTTCGCAAACTATATCTATCGAGTAATCTCCTGAACCTTTCGATACAGATGGGAATATATGAATATTGAATGTGAAATAGAGGTCAGTAGAAAAACTGATTTCAGGCTACCATTCAAAATATATATCCTGCATAGCGTTTAAAACGCCATTCAGAACATACCTGAAGAAGTTGCTGAAGAACATCGCGAGCACTTGTAACTTCTATCTCTTTGAGGTTCTCTACGTAAATCCCTTTCTTACTGTCTTCTCTAATCTATAATGTATTAGAAAAAAATATATATTTTGATAATCAAAATCCAAATCAAATTGAATAATATAAAGGGGTTATAGAAAAATTACATGATTGATCCAATTAAATTCACAAATCAAAAGAAGGAATATCGAAAAAAATGCTGCCGATTAAGGCTATTCCTATTCATTTTCTATTCCACTTCGAAAAGAATCTCCTGATAAAACCGAAAATTAAAAATTATCATTTGCGTTCTGTGATGCCATTCTTCCAAAGGTATCACAGTTTGGTTACTAAAGCTATCTTTTCTTTTAAATGAAAACAGAATTACAAAATATTACTCTTACCTGTAAGTTGTTAGATGATGGGTCCAGAAGATCAAGTATCTGTTCATTATATATTTCCAGAAACGAGCATCTACAAGTGTACTTCAGCTTCTCATCTTTGCGGGCCTCTTTTTCCTAAAATATCATAATTGAATTAAGTACTGCTACACAAAAATCTTGAAATATCTACACAATGTAACTGCAATAAGGGATTGGTATCGAAGAATAAAAGACATTTCCAATGATACTAATCTCAATCCTGAATTGAAAATAGCCAAGAGATGCATACCTTCTGGATTCTCGTGAATAAGTATTCAAATACTCTAGGTGTCATCCCACAGTTGACGCTATGTCTTCGTGTACCTCCCTCAATATCTCCAAGCATGGTGTGAGTCTTTCCACTCCCAGTCTAGACGCAAAATTCAAACCATTGAAGCTTAAACCTCAAATTGAAGAAATATATACTCACAGAAACGATTGCACTCAAATAACAACTACCATCAAACACACCAGAATCCAAAAACTATATGATTATTGTCAAATTTATATGTTACTCTGGCGCACGAAATCTCAAAAAGTTTTTTCTTCAGAAGACAATGCTGGAAGCTTTACCCAATTTGCAGAATCAACAAGGAAAATTTGAACGTCTTACTTGGCCATATGCAAACATACAACTGTTGTAGCCTCCAACACAGTTATCCACCATGGGTAATCCAGCCATTTTGAAAAGCTTCTCCTGTTACACTGCCAGAGTAAGTCCCAATTAACAGAAAGCGAATGAAAGAAACGTAATCGAAAAAATTACCTGGCTGACATTCTCATCTGCAACTAAATCAAACGTAAAGCGCGATTCAGGATGCCCAGTCCATGTAAGAGTCTGACAGCTCTCCTGCCTTACGCATTTTCCATAGCCTTGCAAAGATACTTCTGAACTACTAAGTGGGCGAATCCTTATGATCACCTGTACTCAAAACACGAAATATAAGGACTATCACAAGAAGTAGAAGCTAGCAAGAGTTGTTCATTCCGAGAACCAATAAGTTCCAAATATACAGAAAAAAAAAAAAAAAAAAAAGAAATTCTAGATAGCTCTCAAAGAAATGCCCCGAATGTTCAATATTATAACGGACCTTTACAGCTTACTTTTGCTATTACATCAACATAAACCCGTTTGATTACCTCAAAACATAGATTTGAAGACCTGATGGTTACTTGAAACAGGAAGGGCGATGAAATTGCGGAGTTAATATCGTCATAATTGACATCACCGCAGTTGATTGAACATGAACTTTCTAAACGATGCCAACCAGGGTATTCAAAAGGAAACATTCATTTGGCTTCACGTTCAAATAAAAGTAATTTCTACCAGTTGCAGATATCAAAGAGTTCCTGATCTCATCTACCAAACTAAGAATCAGCTGAACCAAAATTGAAGAATGAAATGGCCCGAATGTCCAAAATTATAACGGACCTTTACAGCTTACTGATGCTATCAAGTCAACATAAACCAGTCTGTTATTCTCAAAATGTAGAATTAAAATTATAGCCAAGTCAACCATACAACCCAAAGTTACCTGCACATTATGATCTTTCCAGAAAGAAGGATCCTCCCGAAGCTCAAAGATCTGGCCCGACGATACAGCAACATCACCACCTGCATCTTCATCGTTGAACTCGCCAATACTCCGTATAGCAGACATCTGAGCGACACTCTCCTTGGTAGCCGATTTAAGAAAATCCGGTGAAGCCCGAGGTGGAATCGCACTGTTCGATGCATGATCCTGAAACCCAAATCGGTTCTTGATTGCACTAGCCGCGTCCGATATGAACGGCATTGCTTGTAAAAGCTCGCAAGAATTTCTTCTTGCCGAGGAAATTGCGAGAAATGCACCGTTCCCGAAGAGGAAGCGGAAGAAGAAGACTGCTGTGAGAGAGGGGCGAAGAGAGCAGAACGTAGAAGTGATTCAAACAATTTGAAATGAGGGATCTTCGAAAAGAGAGGGAAAGTGGAAGACGTGTATAAAATCAGACGATGGACGGTCAGGATTCGTTAAGAGGATTCGATCATTTTTGTCCTTTGGATCGTTTGAGTGCGATTTTAAATTTTGAACGGTCCGTTGGCCTTTTCTTTTTCAAAAATTTCCAAATTTTTATTATTTCAACCATTTTAAATTTTAGAGCAAAAATATAATTATTTAATATAAATTGTTGTAATATATATTAGAATAGAGATGGTGTTACTTACCTATGAACTTCGGACTACCACCAACAATCCTCAATAATATATGGCGTATAAAATAAATTTTTATACTAAAAATATGCTCTGGCTTCTTAAATTCGAGAATTTTTGAAATCTAACCGAGTAAAAATGATTAAAAAAAAGTATGAATAAAACACGGAATTTGAGGTCCAATCAAGACAGTAGTGCTAGATCTTATAAAGCATTATTCTTTTCTTTTTTTTTTCATCGAATTAAAATTCGACTCGAATATGTAATTTTATTATAAAAGAAATAATAATATTATTAATTTAATAATTATAATGATAAAGAGTATTAAAATAAATAAAAGAAAAATGAAAAGAGAAGAATAATAAAGGGGAAAATTGAATGGATATAATAAAAACATAAATAGGGCAGTTTCTTTTCTTAGTAAAATCCAATCAATCTCCGCTTTTCTTCTTTTCTGGTTTCTTGATCTCAATCCATCCATTTTCCCGTCTTCTTCGCTCTTTCCATGGCGATTACGCATCGCAACTGAACGCTTCTTCATTATCTCCTCTCCTCTCCTCTCCCCTCCGCTTCAGCTTGCATTCGCCACGCAATTGGACATTGGATTCAACGCTCTATTTCTTCGATTCGCTTTCTCCTCCGAAATGCGTTTCGGAATCGATTGAATTCCTAAGCCTTGCGGTTTTCCGTCTCTGTTATGGGACGGCCTTTCGATTGCCTCTGAGTGAATAATCCGATCGGAAAAGCATTTGTCGATTCGGATTCGATTTGCTTAATCGATTGACATTTCCGATTCGAGTTCATCCTTTCGTATAAATGGCACGGAAGGTCCTCCTCCGATCTCAGGCAATCGAACGTCAAAGCTCGTCGCAGAAGAGCGAGAAAAGCGATGCGGCGAGAGATAAGCGGCAGTTCGCGGAGCTTGCCGGTGGTTCGGCGGCGGACTGTACGATCATTTGTTGCTGCTGTCCATGGACGGTGATGAACCTCGTAATCTTTGCAGTGTACAGGATGCCGTTGGGACTCTGCCGGAAGGCGATGAACAGAAGGAAACGACACCGTAGATTGAAGAGGAAGTGTCTGATTCAGCAGCGTAAGGCCGCCTCGCATGATTTCGAAGATGGATCGGTGGAGCCCGCAATGGAAAGTTTCGAGGCCACCAAACAGGCGAATGATGCGGCACACGGCGAAGATTTGAACAAGTTGGAAGAGGAAATGTGGGGCCGGTTCAACCAGACCGGGTTTTGGAGAAGTTCTTCTCAAAGACACGAGTGAATATAAAAAATACTCACAAAGGTTACCAATTTTTTCTTACTTCATACAAAATTTTTGTGTGCATTTGAATCCAACTCAAAATCTTTGAATGAAGTTTTTGAGTTCTCATTTAGCAACGTGGAAATGCATTCTTTTTTTTCTGAGGATTTTTAATGTGCAATTTGTACATTTCAATGTAAGAAACAATTACTTGCTACATTATTAATTGGAAATTATTTTTTCAAAGGCCAAAATTGGTTGTTATTTGACTAAGCTGTTTTAATTAGAAACTGAAAAAAAAAAAAGTTAAATTAAACAAATTCCATTTGTATTTTATAATTTCATTTTAGTTTGGTCAAAATTTATCTACTTTCAATACATTTTAAAATTATATTATTAATAATATTTAGAAATATAATATCGACCTGTTTTTAAAATTTATATTGAAAATGTTAATAGAATAATATTATAAATTTAGCTTTTTCAATTTTCTAAAATTTAAATTTACTAGAACACAAAATTAAAATTTTAGAAATTCATATTATTAAATACAAAAATTGAAAAGTTTAAGATCTAAAAATAGAATTAAAAATTTTGGAATATCTCATACATTTTCTAAATTAAATTAATAATTTAACCTAAATTTAATAATTTATTCTTATTATGCACCCTCTTTTGCTTGTTCCATGTGAAAATTTCAATGCACTCAAAAATTTGATACAAAAAAAAAAAAAAAAAAAAAAACATCGTAAATAGTTAAATTTGCTTCTCGTAATGAAATTTTGGAAAACATCGATTAAATCCGTCCTAACAGGATTTGTTTTGTTTGTTGGTTTTTTTTTTTTTTTTTTTTTTTTGAAAAAAAAAAGCATCCTATTAGATGTTAAGGCCAACTAGCTCATCCTGGTTGACCATGAGACCAGCTCCAAAGTCCAATCAATTATAACATAGGGAAAATGGGTAGTTGATTACATCTCATTTGATTGGGTCATTTTTCTCCACACAAAAATGGAATTTTGTCAACAAGAATAAGTCTCGTCTGTCTTCTAACAAATTCTCTAACAATGGAGTCGGAGTCTAACGACCATACGCACTAAATTTTACATTTAGGCCACCTCCTATTCGACCATGTCATTTTCACGCATTCTTACATTGAACTAAAATATCAAATCCAATCACAGACTACAATCACATGCTACAAATACAATACATGTCCTTTTCACGCATTCTTACATTGAACTAAAATATAAAATCCGATCACGGACTACAATCACATGCTACAAATACAATACAAGTGCATTGTGCAATGATATTTTAACCATATCTTTCTCAGTATAAATTTGGGTCGACCCATATGAATTTTTTAAAAAAATTATGCAACTTTAAAGATTTAAGATGAATTTTTCAACCATTTCACCTAAAAATAAATTTAATTAATTATAGATATCATGCATATCATATATATATATTGGAAAATATAAAACACCATAGGGAGCCAACTTGAACACAGTTAAGATTCGAGTCGATTCTAGTATTCGAATCACTACTAGACTAGACGTTGTGTGATCTTTCCTTTTTTTCTTTTAGTTGCAATGCCAACCGGCGCTAAAGGCAGATGTTTAAGATGAGTCGGAGAGGTGGAGGAGACCAAGCAGAGAGAAGAAGATGGAGAGAATTTTTGAGCATTTGATAACACCATCGTACGTACACGAGCTTCACTCTTGAAGCATCACAACAGTAAAAATTTCACTATTTCCACAGATTCTAGATCCTTGGAACTTGGGAGGAAATCCAATTCCTATCTAATCTCGAATATATGAACTTATCACCCCAAGAATCTGAATAAAATAAAATAAAATCACTTCATTTTAACAAACTTCTATTCCCGTATCATTAACAGAATAAACCTGACCACACATTTCATAATCTCAATTCTATTCCAAATGAGAACACTTTCAGATCATCATACTTTCAATCACAACAATACCAAATTCATTTCAAACATACCCATCAAATGCAGAAAAAAGTAGACCCAACAGAAACTGAACTAAGAAAAGAAAAAATGGGAGTAAAAAAAATGTTCAAGCACCCGAATGCAGACGCCGTGGAGGTTTAGTGGGTGAGACGGCAGCTGCAATTTACATAAAACTCGAGTTCCAATATTGGCAACGAGAAGGGCTGATGGCGCTATTGCACAAGCTGAGCGCATCAGTGACGCTACGCTGATTGCCTTTCAACAAGAAATGAACCAGACCATTGACAAAGAAAAAAGTCCACCAACTTCTAATTTCGTGCCATAATAAAATTCTTGACTTATTTTTTTGTGACTAATAAATCTATCAATTTTAAAAATGTTAAATAAATCAAGGACATATACAAAATTTAAAGTTAATAAGACCCCCGTTGAACACTTTAAGTTTAGAGACCTAGTTGATACGACTAAAAGTTTAAAGCTTAAACTTAGTGACAACTGCGTTGAATTCAGCAGTTTTCAAGAAAAACAGGCACTCTATAACCCTCTAAATAAGAACACAGGAAATAAAGGAAATAAATAATTTCAACTACCTATAGTGTTATACACTGTACAAAATATATACATGGTAGAATATTTAGTAATCCAAAGACAACAAACTAAAAAGAATGCACTCACCACACTAGAGCCAATAAAAGAATGAATTGAATCAGAACCTAAAAACATGAACAGCCATTGCCTATATACCTTTTTTCTCCAGCCTCCCCAATCATGATAAATATCTTACAGGCAAGGGGGACTCCTTACTTCCTAGGTGGATTGCCTTCGCCAATGCAATGAAATTAACTAGATTTTCTTCATGGAACCATTTGATCTTCCATTTCGTAGAGCACAGTGATGACGTCTCCTTCTTGATGGCGGTGACCTCCTCGTCAGATTTGGGGACCAAGGAGAACTCTGATGATGCAAATTTTAAAGATAAAGTCACACACAACGCCCCCTTCACGTCAACAACCTGTCAACAAGGTTTATATTTAGTAACATTTTACAAGAGCATTAAGAAAGAAGGCCAATCATTTCTTTTCCTTTAAAAATGAAGTAAAGAATATAGAAGAGAAATCTCTTAAGAAAAAATGCGGTAAAGAATAAAAAAATTATTGTTCACTTCTATAAGAGCAGTTCGGACGTTATAGAATAAAAAATAAGCATCGAGCTTCTACGTAAGTCCGTCAAAATTGCATTTCCTGAAATTTTATGAAGGTTATGACAATAACTACCCCAAACTTCAACCTATATGGCTAAGATAATAATGGCATCTCATCGGACTGAAGATAAAAATAATACAAAGCATGACCCGATAGCCTAAGCCATCTTAAGTGTGAAGTTGAATGGACAAATGCCAGATTGCCTATTTGTCAACTTAAAATTTTACCCAAATCCCAGCAATTAAGTCTCTATTTTCCCCAAATTTGCGCGTCCTACAACTCAAGTGAAGTCATTACATGGCATAACAGACTAACTCTCTTCTTGACACTAA